AAAAAAAAAAAAAAAAAAAAAAAAAAATTTTGGGGCCAAAAAAAAAAAAAAAAAAAAAAAAAAAAAAATAGAAGCAAAGCAAACCAAAATCAAATTATTTTGGCAATACCTACTAGTAACCTTTTACCTCAACCTTACATTATAAAAGGAGGCAGCTCCATCAGTGATACTTGTTATGTGCAAATACCTTCCCTGGCAAATCAGCTGCCTGTGCAAAACATCCTGATGCCTCACTATAAAACATTTTGTTGAGTTCTGTCCTCAGTGACATTTAAGACCTAGCAGACTTGAGTTGCCTCCCACACACTGTTTACCTGAACATTAACTCATCACTGGACATATGACACTGAAAACCTTCTGCATTAATGTGCTGTGTACTGAGATTTGAGTTGATCATAAACATGTTATTTAATGTGCTTACAGGAAGAAATGAGTTTAAGAAAGGTGCCTTTTTGGAAAAAGAAACTCTACAAATCTATAGTTGAACACTAAAATTCAGACGTTGCTGCTTAAATTTACCCCTTCATTGTTTGGAATATAACTTTCTGGTGGCTATACAAAGTCCAAAAGGTTCCACATAAACCCCATAAAGAAAAACAGACCAAACCATTCAAGTTTTTATTTTCCTTTATTATTTATTCGTTTACAATTTTTGTAGCTGTTTATTCATTATTGTCAATGCTTTTGGCAAACATTAGTGCTCACTGTGTTCTGTACAGTCCGGTCCCACAATGTATACTTAAAATGTGTTGGGAAAGGAGGAATGAGGAGAGAGCCAAGTGGTGGTCCCAGGCTTCTACAATTTGTCCAGGTAGTTGTCCAAGGCTGGGACACCTTCCTTGAGACCCTTACGTTTGCGTGTTTCCGTCACAACAATACCAGGCTTGCTTGCTGGGTCCATTGGGTCTCCGGGGAGGATCTGCCAATGGTCAAACACACACTGCGGGAAGGCCTGGCCACCAGTGTTGGAACGAAGGTCAGCTGTGAAACCTGGGAACAGACAGAGCAAAATACATTTAATACCTTCCTGCCAATCCTCTGTCATTATTGGCAAATGGGTTGCAAGGAACTCTGTCACAAATATAAAAGTGATTATTTGTTTTCCAATCAATAGCTAGGGGCTTTTAATATCTTATGGTAGCTAAAATTACCCCCACTGGGTTTGTAGGGCACTAAGGATGTGGATGTCAACATAATGTACAGAAAATACATGATTGACCCTTGAGTTTAAGAAGAGCTACAGACCACAATTGGCCTATTGTGTACATACCACTCTAGTGTAATGAACTTTATTTTCTCTTCTACTGCCACTTATTTTAAAAACCAATAGTGGACTGGTTTTAGTCTTCAGGTTCAAGTCAAAATTACATTCAGCAACTCATTGTTTCATCAATGGAAATAAAAATTTAAACTAATGGATAAATAAATTAGTTTTAAATACTTTTAGATTAAACTACCTGCAATTGCTCCTGACAAAAGTCTCTTCTTTCTAGTTTAGGTACCTAAGCCTAGTTACATTGTGTCTTGTTATTACTGGTAACCATAAATATAAGACCAATGTCTAAAACCCAACTAAAAACACAGCAACAGAGGGAGGCCAAGCTAAAAGCCTATACCCGATATATCAGACTAGAACTAAATTCTGGTGAAATTCAGGTCAGAATGTTGCTTGCTGAAGAGGACTTACCAAATGACTCCATGACAGGCAGGTAGGCCTTGGTAACACGCATGGGTGTTCCCATGACACTGACTTCCTCAAACACGTGACCACGCCTCCTGGTCAACACACCGTAAATTCCACCCACTGCAGCTGCAGGACACTGCAAAGTAGAGAAATGATATTGAGTCATACAGACAACGCTCACATTTGTGAAAAGATGGGTTTACTGTTAAAGTGCATTCAGATTCAGATCAAAGAACTTCTTAAACTTGGTGCCATATAGTTATTACTACTTCAGTGACACTTACCTGGATCTCCACCAGGTAGACTGGCTCCATCATTTTGGGCTCGGCTGTGAGCTCGCATGCATACAGAGCTCTGCGAGCTGTGGGAATAATCTGACCACCACCACGGTGAATAGCATCTGTATGCAGGGTCACATCATGGACGTCGAAGCGAATGGCACGCATGTTCTCTTCACAGAGGACACCCTAAAGACAACATTGAGACACAATTGTAAATTAAATTGTAGATCCACTGATCACTGGGTAAGACAACACACAATGGCTTCAACTGTTTTAGATGAGCACAATCAAGAGTGAATTCCTGCATACTTCCTTACCTCTTTGACTGCCCACTGGAAGCCAGCCACAACGCTATCCTTGATCTCATTAAGGTACTGCACTCCCTTGGTAACATCCACCAACATGTTGGGGCCAGTTCCATCAGGTCCAAAGCACCAGATCTTTCTGGCCTCGCCGACATCCCACTCGTACTTGTCAGCGAGGTAGCGGGCACGGGCCTTGAGCTCCTGACGAGAACTCACGTCACCCTTCTCAATGTCCTCTGCAAGGCCATCTTCGAAGGGACGGGCCTTCATGAACAGACGGTTGTGCTTGTTGGGTGACTTGGACAGACACATGACACTTGATTCTGCAGCAACGGTCTCTCTGTAGGACACCACTGGATCAGATTTCTGAAAAAGGCAAACAAGAAGTTTTAATGGGGAATATTTACCTCGAAAGATATCAAAATGACATATTTCCATGTTATCTATTCGATTGTTATGGTCTTAAGATAATTTGTTTCAAAACTAATGTTTACTCAAAATGTAGCTTTTAATCACCTTGAGTGGAATACAAGCGTGATCCTCCTCCAGATCCTTCAGACAAATCTCCAGATGTAGCTCTCCAGCACCAGCGACGATATGTTCTCCAGACTCCTCAATGATACACTGCACCATAGGATCAGACTTGGACAGACGCTTCAGACCCTCCACCAGCTTGGGCAGGTCAGCAGGGTTTTTGGCCTCCACAGCAACTCTCACCACAGGGCTGACACTGAACTTCATCACTCTCATGTTGTGGGCATGCTCAAAGGTGGTGATAGTTCCAGTCTTGACAAGGAACTGGTCCACTCCAACCAGACCCACGATGTTACCACATGGCACATCCTCGATGGGCTCAACGTAACGGCCCATCATCAGAATGGTCCTGTTAGAGAGCAATATGAACCGTTAGAATTGACCAAAAATTACAGTAAATTGACTCAGACAAGTGATAATAGCCAGTATATGTCAACTAATTGATCAGGAGGTCAGATGTAGAAACCAACCTCTGAATCGGCTTCAGGTAGAGGTCTTCCTTCTTTCCAGGGACGTAGTTTGGTCCCATAATGCGCACTTTCAGGCCGGTGGAGACACTTCCAGAGAACACGCGTCCAAAGGCATAGAAGCGACCCTTGTCGCTGGTGGGGACCATCTTTGAGATGTACACCATCAAGGGAGCCTTGGGGTCACAGTTCTTGATACCTGATTATTAAAAAAAACAAAGGTCTGACAATCAGTTCAAGTCCAAGAACAACCGCTACAACTCCAAACCACATCTG